ATTTTCTTACATTTAGAAATAAATAATATTTTAATGTTAAAAAAAAAACCATAGTGGGCTCTAGATTGATATCCCAGTCTTTTTTGTAGTAAGTTTAATCATTGAAATAACTTACAAAATTAAGATACTAAGAATTATTTGTTCTAATGAATGTGATAGGTAGTAACAACAAATGTTGCGTTGGCATATTTTTTGTAAATAAAAAATAATTAATTTTTTTAATTATTTTAAGTTTCAGACTCCGACTATTGTTAGATGTTCTCATTTTTCTTAATGATAACAATGAGTGTTACTTTAACACCATTGATATGTCTCTCATAACAATGCGTTTAGATGATGCAATTATGGAGAGTAATGAAGATGAAAGATTTGTTGATCAGTTTTTGTTAAATCAGGTATCCAGTATCAGGAAAGGTATTGTTAAATTAGTGTCATCCAGTTTAATTAAATAAAATGTAATAATTTTTTGTAACAAAACATTGTATATTTTATACTTTTTTCTGTAACTTCAAATCTTACAGTAATAATAATAATAATAAAATTAATTTTCATGTATAAAAAAACAGAGTTTTTTCTTTCAAATATAATCATAGTAGCAAAATCGTATGACTATTAATATTTATATACTTTTTAGTAGTATTACAACTATATTACATATATTTTTTTTTCTTGAAACATTATGATCTTAAATATATTAACAAAAATTATACCTCAGAATATCACCATTAATTTAAAAAAAATGAAGTAACTTTGTTCCATTTATACTTCGTTTTATTATTTAATTTATCTCTGGGATCCCTCAAAACAGGATATTTTTCATATTCATTAATTTATATTAATATTTGGTCATCAGTTAGTTTTAAATGTATTATGTAATTTCGAAAAATGAACACTATACCATACAAGTTCACTGACAAATTGACTATTGATAATTATTAATTGAATTTTTATTGCATTCGGTTCAAATAGTAATTACATTAAATTCATGAAAAACCCTGTCCAATAATCATTAATATTTTCTGTATGTATCACAAACAAATATTTGTTAATCCAGCAAACACAAATTACACATGTACCTTATATGGTGTATGGAAATGTGACCACATTGACATTGTTTTAAATGAATGCAGCGGTGGCATAGCCAGAAATCACCTGGGGGAAGGACCCACCAAATACCAAAAATACCAAAATCATACATGTAAGTATATTAGTTAAATTATCCTTTTGAGCATAGAAAACGTGCATTCTGCTATAGGATGTGTAAATAACAACTATAAAAATGTAAAATATCTTTGCAGTGTTGCATTGCTTCAATCTGCAATTAGTGGTAGGTTTTCTGTGTCATTCCATTGAGTTCTTAACGTGTGTAGTTTAGCACTTAAGCTGAATATTGCATGAGGAAGATCATTCATTTTTGTATGTATGCAGCTGATAAAATTGAATCATCGTTATATATATATAAAAAAAAAAGAGTTGCAAGTTACTTGAAATTAAACCTTAAAATGACTATTTGAAACATATTCTATTTTTAAAATTTTTTTTTATAAGTTATCGGCTTCTTTTAGAATTATTTTATAAAGGATTCTTTACTAGTGTTACGTTAGCCAAATCATTATATATATTTTGTTGCTTACTTAATAAAATATTCCTCAAATTAATAGTATAAGAAAACATTTAACAGAAACTTCTAAGTAATAAGAAAATCTGGTTTTGTTATGTAGCTTTTATTAATGTTTCTGGATTCGTAATACTAGTACTACTATAGTATGATACTATCATACTTAAGATCTTTTAGAGTAAAAAAAATGTACCTGTAGTTCTACAAAAGTAAATAAAGCGTCGTGTCGCTATACCCATTGAGTTTAAGAGTGTTAAGTTAAAAAAAATGAGTTACCTCCGGTGTTCTTTTATTTTTTTTGCATATTTATAAATTCGATTATCAGTTTATTGAAATATTAAAATATACGGGTAGATAATTAAGTTATAAATGCATTAAAAAGTAAAAGAATACGTTACAGACAATTACTACTACCTATGCCTTTTATTGGCAAGTGGCAATAGATTAATTAAACCGCAATGTGTTGCGGTATTGGCACACCTAGACTCCCTTCCTTGGAAATCTTTAGTAAAAGGCGGAAGATTTTTTTCGATTTGAAAGGGAATCGGAAACATTGGGGCGCAGACCTCCTTGCCTAACGAAAACCTAGGCTTTATGCTACTCGACTGGTATATATGCTTGTGCTGCATGGAAAAACTCAATAGATAACAAGAAGGTGAATATAAATATAACCAATACACCTTAAATATAACCAATAGAATAAATACGGGTTGCTTGAGACTAACCCTAATTCAGAAAGTAAAATGTGGAATAACACTTCTAAACATAAAGCGACATGTGTCAACAAGGGCAGAAAAAACAAAGTAAGAGTAAGACATTACATATCCTTTACATGGAGGTAACCTCATAGAGATCCGACTTTCGAAAGAAACACTTTCTGAAGATAAAAATCAACTTAACACAACTACCGGAAACGACAAAGATTAACTTATGGAAGGAGGAAATGAAAGGAAATCTAACCTAACCCACTTGGTTCTACGAAATCCGACTAGGTGGTTCAGGCAAGCATTCCAAATTAAATCATATACCTACTAACATTCCAAACTAAACACCTTCGTTCCATCATTAAAACTTTATTTTACGTTTCCAACCACACTCCATCAAGATCTTTCGATGCCCCTTATTAAAAAAAAACAATATTACTTCTTTTAAAAGATTTAATTTCCGTCAGCAAAATCATTCAAATTTCTTCATCCCTGACTAATTGAACCCTACCATTCCTGGTGACCCCGTAGACGATTAAAACGTAAACGGTATAGAGACGTACCTACTTAATGATTAAAATCAACTAGACATTAATAAGCCTTCGACTTCTCTAACTTTCAATTTTTTTCAAAGTCTTTTATAATAAAAAAAAAATGAATGTGCAATTAAAATATCTATAAAGGAAAATGAATAATGTGCTTGAAATCCTTTTAGATCGATTACCTCTTAATGTATGTACGTACCGCACCATAAATATTTCAATGTGTATTCCGTCATTCAATTATTATTAATTTTATTTATTATTTTCTTTTTTATCATTATTATTTATTTGAATTAACCAGTATACACCGACGTATCTTTGGCGTATTTAATAAAGTAAACGTAGCAAGAATTTATTAATTTATATTTTTTTGGTTATTATTTTTATTGTAGACTTGAGGCCAGTGGCGGTGCAAAGTTTATTTTCCAATGAAGCAGTTATGTGTATCGAGTTCCTATCGCAAGTCATTTAACCCATAAGTATTCAAGTTAACGGGTCTAAATAAAATAATATACAGGTAACAATATTTCATGTCGAATGTGCTAGTTAACTTTTCTGTTACACGACAATACCAACCCACTCTATTTTAAAAATGAAGCAGCTGCTTCAATAAAATCGGTCTCACGTCGCCATATATGGGCGTATTTTAAGGGGGTGGTGAAGGGGCGATCGCCCCCCCCCCTGAATTCGTATTTAAGGAATTGGTTATATGTGAGATACACAGTTCAATTTTTTTTTAATCTGGATGATTTTATAACGAAATCAAATCATGCGTGGCTGTGAATACTGAATTGAGCTTTTTGTCGGGTCCATACTTAGTGAAAAATAAAATAAAATATCTACAAGCGTAACTTTCAAAACACAGATAGGTGTTAAAAATAACTACATAAAAGTTAAGTTAAGGGGATCCAGCATTAGATTAAAATAAAAAACCACAGATATTAAAGAGTCACCTGATTTAAATATTACCAAAAATTTTATTTGTACATTTTGAGTCTGAATTAAAGAAAAATTTTGAGTCCCTCCCTCTAGAAGTAAGTCTAAATACGCCCCTGCTCTAAAAATAATAGTCGAGGCATAGAATAAGTTGATCTCCATGGGATAGATTTCTCAACACCTTGGATATCACTCCGTGTACACATAATCCCCAAACCATTTTTGATAATTCACTATCAGTTATTAGCGTTATCAATCGAATCAGTCAACACTTGGCCCGTTGCTGATTCGCCTTGTGCCGCATTGGCGCCATTCCGAAATCGGCAGCCGACCAGTTCGAATATCTTGTTGCGTGTCTTGCTATGACCGTAACTGCGGCTGTGTGGACGGTGCTGTTGGCTGCGTCATTTGCAGCGGCGGCTCTGGGCTCGGCGTTTGATGGCCGTAAGCCGAATACCGTGTTCGTGGCCATACTTGTGCGGAACAAGGCTCACACGTTGCCATACTTTTTCAGCGCCTTCGAGTCTCTGGACTATCCCAAAGACCGGATGCACCTGTGGTGAGTATTTGTCATTTCTATGAAATTTCTTCGGACCGTAAACTCCTTGTATTGATACTAGTCCAGTAAAATTATACGTCTATCTAGCGCGCAAATGTACTGGTCTAATGTATTGAACTACTGTCATTCAAACAATATTAGTTCAGTTAATTTCAACAATCTTTCATTATTAACTCATATGATTTTATGATTTGTTTTTTTACTTTTCACCTATTTTGGTTGACTCAAAAAAAAATGAAGAGATCTACAGGTACCTATTGATCGGTTGATTTTTATTACATTAGTATATTACTAAAGTTACTGCTAACTATAAGTTAGTACTTGCCCAATAACACTTCTCCAGTTAATGATAAAAATCCAAGAAGAAATTGCTTTGATTCCCGTGCAGATGTTAGTGAGAGTTATTCAAAACCTCAAAGCACCATTCCAGGAATGTATACAGAAGTACGGACACCATCTTACTAAAATTATTTTCCTTAAAACTTGAAATAAATAAACTTGAAATTTTGAACCTTAAATAGCATATTATGTGCTTTATATTTTTCATAATAAATATTGAAAATTATTTTTTTAAACATTTGTGAGAGTTATTTCAAATTTACCCGTTTCTGTGGTCCACCCTACATTATAATGTATATGGAACATTACAATGTTGATTCTCTTTTAATTTTTTAATTAATAATGTCTTGTTAGATTGATTGAGCTATTTATAATAAAAATGTAGCAACTTTTAAAAGTAGGTTTTCTTTTCTTTTTAGGATTTTTGTACCTAATCATTTATTTATTATTGTTGAAAATAGATTTAAAGTCTTAAAATATGAAAAAAATAATGATTCAATTTTTATTTCAATATTATTATTTACTTTTTCTTTATATCGGTTTGAATTATTAAAGGTATATGGTATTTCTAGGATAAGAAGTGATCATAATATAGACAATTCTTCTCAAATTTTAAATAAATGGTTGCAAACATCAGGGACAGTTTATCATTCAGTTGATGTCAAAATTGATAATGAACCAAAAAAATATAAGGATGAAATTGGTCCTGCTCATTGGCCGCATTCCAGATTTCAGCATATTGTTGAGCTACGAGAATCTGCTTTGCGTTCTGCACGATATCATTGGGTCGATTATATTTGGGTAAATTAATAATAGTTGTTGATGAAAATAAATACCTAGATACTTAGAATGTATTAGAATAATTTATTTTGTTTCTCGCAGTTTTTAGATTGTGATGCATTTATAATCAACAAGTCTACTTTAAAACATTTAATGCAAAAAAACTATCCAGTTGTTGCTCCAATGTTGAAGTCTGATGGTTTATATTCAAATTTTTGGTGCGGTATGACAGATAATTACTATTACAAGAGAACTTCTGATTATACACCTATAGTTGAGTGGAAAACTAAAGGATGCTTTAAAGTTCCTATGATACACAGCTCAGTTTTAATAGATCTCAGATTTCAAATTACTAATAACTTGACATTTAAACACAACATACTGCCCAATTATATGGGACCTGTAGATGATATAATTATATTTGCTATGTCTGCAAATTTTTCTGGTGAGTTTTTAACAGCTTTTGTTGTATTATCATTATTCATCATTGAATATACATTTTAAAAAAGAGATTATATTTACAAACATTATCAGGTGAATTTAAAATAGCGATGTAATATTTTATAATATAGTATATTTTTATAATTATTGATTGGAGATATTTTTTCTATTCACTATAGAATATATGCTCTATGGAAAGATATTTTTATTGTTTTAAACCTATAAAAAGGACACAATATTGTAATACACAAAGTTTAGATTTTTTTAATGAAAAAAAAAAAAAAGAAAAGAATAACTATATTTTTATATTAATGTAGTTTATAGTTTGTATTCCAATAATTTGCCTCATTAAGAAGATATCAACTTCTTTATTTAATATTGATGATAAGATGTATGTTCAAGTTATTTCATATAATTTATATAATTTTTTTTTAGATTAACTAAATTTTTTAAATTTTTATTAGGTATTCCTTTACACATTTGCAATGATCAAATATATGGTTTCATTACTATACCCCTTGAAAAAGACAGTTCTTTAGAAATGGACATTAATCAATTGACAAATATAAAATTAGAAATAACTGGTAATGATATAACTTAAATAATATATTGATTTTTATTTTAATAAATTATTAATTTTTGATATTGTTATTTATATTGTCTAGTTCATAATGACCCATTATGGATTTCAAGTAATTTATCAAATCTTGAACTGCCAAGTACATCTATAGATAATATGGGCCTGGATAAAATTTTTGTTATCAATTTAGCCCGAAGAATAGAAAGACGAAATCGTATGAATTACTGTCTTAATGCACTTGGGTTAAATGTAACCTTTATTGAAGCTACTGATGGAAGGTTAGTAAATTAATTTTAGAATTTATTATTAGTAATATTAAAAGGTTAAATGCATAAAGCAAATAAAGAATAAGTATTAATGATTAATGATTATTTGTATAATATAAATAAGAATATACATTGAGGATTTTAAAGATAAGTCACTGTATTTGGGGATTCACCCTTTTGAAAATAATGATTGAATTTTGTTAATTCAAAATCATCTTTAGTTATATTTTGATTTGCTTCAGTTTGATTTTTATCTTTATTAGGATTTTGATGTACTGATATTCTACATATTACTGTCTGTCTACTTTTTGCTGATGATCTACTGTATTTAAATTGATCAAATCCAGTCATATCCATTTCGTTATTTCCTCCACATATTTTTTGTTTGAGAGTATAGTACATTTTACGTATTGCTACCTAATAAAAGTATAAATATAAATATTAGAAAAATTAAACTGATGTTCTATTGTTAATTAATACAAATAAATATATCATTTTTAAATAGCAAGTTGTTGGGTGAATAAATTATTAATCATTTTAATCAATGGTATTAAATAACATAGAAAATGTATACCTGAATTTCTTGCATTCTTGCTGCATAAATATATGAGTTTACTGCTGATTTTAGAATTACTAAACAATTAGTTGCAAAGTATGTATAAAACCTCACAGTATAACTAGCCCAATTTGGTTTAATTATACAATCAGTACATATTAAGTAGTATTGTAAACATGCAGGCATCCATCCAACAACAACACTCCCAACAATTATTAATGTTGTGTACAAAGCCTTTTCATTTTTACTTTGCTGTGATTCTGTTTGTCTATGCACCTGTAATATTTGAGAGTAATTATATTCTAAAATAATGGTATGAATTAATTGCTTATATGTACTTGATTTGGATTACTGAAATGTACACTTCTACTTTGCTTATACATTGAACGAGTAGCTTGATGTTTTTTTACTATTAGAAATATGTGGTAGTAGATTATTCCCATAGTAGTTAGAGCGCCAAAAAGGACTACAGAAAACGTTGTTCTGAATTTGGATTCCATTAAAAAGCTGAAAAGTATTGTATAAAAATAATGATTTTTATAATAAATTGAAAAACTTATAAAATACTTTACTCGTATAGTTGGCATTGTAGTGATTGAAATGCTTGACAAGGTATCATATTAAAATAAGCGAATAAAAAAGATGGAGGTAGAGTCCATAAGAAAAACATGAATACTGTAACAGTTCCATGTGTGACAGTTGCCGGATAGTGTAGTGGTCGTAAAATTCCAATATAATGGTTAAAGGATAACATTATTAGATGGCCTGCTGTGGTGACAATAGCTCCTAATCTCAATGCTTCTAGACCTAAGCTCATGCAGTTGTTAATCAAATAAACTTGAAAACCTTCAGGTAGAAGACTATTCAAGGTGATACTAAGACCAAGTAGAAATGAAGTGTATAGATCTGTGCCAGATAGACTTAAACTAATGTATAGTGTTGGTGATAGGGGCCTTCGTATCCATAATACCGATAATAATAAAATAAGGTTAAATATTATTGAAAATACACAAAGTAATATAAGGACTGGTGTAAAAGTTATGTAAAGAAAATGTGAGTGCTGAGAGTCTACGGTATCATTTTCCCATGTATTATTTGGTAAAGATTTAGAATAGTTACATTGGTCATAAATTATATTGTCGGTTTTCATGGTGTATTGGAAGTATGCAAAATCAATTTTTAATGATTCTTGAATTTAATCCTGTGAACAAATAAAAGTAGTATTATAATTAATAAATAAGTATTAACACTATAATTGAATATAATATGTTCATAATATATCTATTAACTAATAAAACTATATTTTATGTTTTTATTATTTTTTTCTGATCCATGTTATTAGGAATTCTAGTTTGAAATAAATTAATCCTATTGGGTGTTAATAAAAAAATAAATATGTTTTTAAAAATTATTTGTACAATACAAATGAAAATATCATCTTTATTGATAATGTTAAAAGTGTTTTTTTTATTATTTTGAATATTGGTATTTTTTTTCATATTAAATTTAAGTTTATTGTAAAATTGAAAAACATATAGTACATACATTTTCATCAACTTTGATTTGTAATCTATAAATTAATTATATATATGTTTAAATAAGCCTACCCGAAAATTGTATTATTACTCACAAAGAAATTTTACGTATGTACTTACTGTATAACTATTTTATACATTTGTTGTTTATTTCATTGTGTATCAAAAATAATGTGTGAACTAATAATAATTTACATAATATCTTATAGCTCCAAATTATTTTGTTGTTAAATTGATTTTCGAAAATTTAATTTTTATCATTGTTATGTTAATTGATATTTTTTATTTAATTATAAGATTTGTCTTATAAAATATATGTCTGTAGAATTTTAACAAGGATATTAAATTTACAACAGAAAATATTTGTATAAATATATTTATTTATTTATTTATAATCTCTTCACAAATTTAAACTAAATATAATTAATATTTAACCAATAACAATTCTAAATATTTTAGATACTGATTAATGTTTCATTCGTAAACTGTTTTTAATGAAATATTCATTACCGTTATCTTCTAAATTACGTATAAAGGTTTATTGCTTAACATTTGTTTTATTTTTAAATTGAGCTATGTGTAATTTGAATTTTTATTCAATGTTAAATTAAATTAAGACTTTATTGGTTTTATAATGATGTGTATGTTTTTTTTTTGTGTCAGGGTATAAAATTCTAATCAGAAGGATTGCTCTGATTATCTAGGGATCCCAGATTTATTTTTGAAAAATACGGGACATTCATTTTCGACAAAATCTATTTTTTTCTGTCGTCACTTCTCAAAAAATAATAATCATAGAGACTTAAAATGTTCACTTAATGCTTATTGAATCATCATTCATTATAGATGATATAATTTTTAAATGATTTTCATTTTTTTTTTTTTTTTTTTTTGAGCCATTTATAGACATTTGAAAATTGCATATATTTTTAACTTTTTTTTCGTAAAATATCGATTAAATTATTTTGGTGTGACAGTTTTGAAAATATAATACAAAGTTCTTCATATATATACATATATTACAGGTGAATGAAAACAATTGAGTGTAATTTCATAAAAAAGGTTTAAGATCGTTTGAATATTACTTTTTGACAAAACGATAAAAATCATGAAAATTCGCCACATTTTTATAGTTCGAAATTAATATATATAAATTGGAAGTTATAACTTTCAATTTTAATACTTAAGATTTGAAAATTTGACACAAGATATAGTTTACTTTATAGTCATTACAAAATAATGTTACTTGTAAGTTACAAAAAGTCTTATAAGCATTTTATTTTTTTATGTTTGTGTACACAAGGATTGATCGAGCAGAAATTTTTACAGTGCATATTTTAAATAAAAATATCGTAATTGTGGTTATCATAGGATTATCAATTACTAATTTGTCACAATAAAACCTATTTACATTAGACAGAAGTTGCCAAAAACAAGAATAAAACAAATAATTTTGTATCTACTGTTTTTTTGTGGACAAGAATATGTCTTTAGAAACGAATAATCTGTCACTATTCTCGATGTCGGGGATTTTCTCCATTTTATCATATATTTGTCAAAAAAAAGAATGTTGATTTTTCAGTCTGTTGGAAACCCAGCATAATAATTTGAATGCGCGAAAACTTATATAATATTATATTAATTTCACGTGATGTTGTTTATATATTTATTATTCTTTAAAATAATATGCTTTAAATTGTTGATACGAAAAGAATATTTATTTTGGAGTTAGATTTTTGAATTATTTTCTCCACTAATAAGTATTAGACTATTTTGATGTCACATTTATCTAATAATTCCATGTATATCAAGCAGATCAGTCGACTTTAGGCCAAGCTTAAAAACCGAACAAGTGTGCGTCGCCCACATTAAAACAACAACAGTCCCTACCATCAGTCCGATATGTATATATCATATGATGAGTGATGATTATTCCAGTAATTGATAATAATTAATATCCATTATTTAGACTAAATAGTTCCCATTGCTCAGATTTAAAGTTTGTTGGATGTATAATTGAATTTTTAGCGATGCGTATGATAAATATATGATGAATGTATAAATATATACATATAAATATATGAATATATAAGTCACGTCTACTTAAGGAAATTTATAGTTATTTTACATTTGAAATATTGGTTACACTGGAAAAAAGCTTGTGTTTGGCACATTTAACATCTTCCGTCTATCAAGCTAGAATGCCAAATACCGTATTTGAGAAGTCTGATTATATAATTGTATACTTGATGTGTAATTTTAAAAAAAAATTATGTATACAAATTAATTCGGCCAATTTTTTTTAATCACGATCAAATAACCAATACATATTAAATTATTCATAGAATCATCTCGTGTAGAGTTATATATATATATATACATTTGGAAGTACTGATTGTATTTCAGTGGCTGAGCGTAGGTTTCAACATAGTGATATTCGCTGACAATATTTAGTTGAGTAAATCGTTGGGAGGAGCTAAGTCCCCAAACCCCTCTCTTGTTTCAAAAATTAAATTTTAAATCATACTATTTGATATTACACACACTAAAATAAATTGAGAATAAATATGTAATTTTAAATTTATGGAAAAAAATAACACAAGATCAACAATATAGTTTATTTATTTTTTACAACCTGATCTCTCTATGAATCTCTATGATACTTTTTTTTTATGGAAATTAAGAGAATCGAAACGCTTTAATAATAGTTTTTCAACTGTATAATCACACATTTTATCTATTATAGATTATTACTTATTATTAGGATAGAGGATTTGTTGCATTTGCATTTATTATTTTAGCCATTTAGTCTTTTGCTGTCTTCGTAAGTGCGTATATTTGTAATTCGTGTCTACGTTTTTGTGTACTGTTTCAATATTAAATTGCCGAAAGATAAACAGCATTTTAACTGTTGGTTAAAGAGTTATTTATCTAAATTTTGTAGTCTGTATATTTTCGACTGACGGTAAAATCCTACACTGTAAATATTGTGACGTTAAAGTAGGATGTGAATAACGATTTAATATTACGCAACATTTAAATGATTCATATATTTTTTAAATAAATTGCTTTAAAAAAATATAAGAGCATATTTATGCTTTTTTAGAGCTACAAATTCTCTTGTTTAAAAATCAAATTTTACAAATGTAAATATTAAAATACCATGTAATATATAAATTATACAAATTATAGAACTTCCCGTAAATTTGCCTGCGAAGATTAATGGAGTAAACTCAATTCATTCCTTTTCCATAATTTTTTTTTCGTAAAATTAGGTTGTCCAAAAAAAACGCAAAACGATGAAACACAATTAAAATCGTGATAAGTACTGAAATTATGGACAAAAAACATGAGTTCATAACGCTTAAACGTAACGCTCTGCAATGACGCACCTTTGACATTCGGCGGTAAACGCTTTGGTGTTCATCGCTTAACGCTTTCCAATGTTACCATAGGTCTTACATAATTTGTAAACCGATGTAATAGTACATCGTTTGAAAAATGGGAAGAAAAATATAAATTCTTGTTTTGTGTAGATTTGACTTATAGTCAGTGGCGTACTTAGACCTGAATTTGGGGGGGGGGGTTAATTTTTAAACAAACAATTTGGTGGTCCCGAACCAAATAAGACACATCGTAAACTTTAATAGATTATTCATTATTATTCCTTATTATTTTTAATTTATTTATGAATAAAAAATTTTAAATAACGCCTACTATTTCCGTTCATTACTTAAATTGACCACTTAGTTAATCCACTTCAATTTTCAATTTAACTTGTGTTTCAACATTCAATTTCACTCTTATCTAACGCATGTCTTTATTGAATGCAATAAATGCAAGCTTTTTTCTGTTCTCACTATCGCCGTCACAAATCAGTCGTCTTCCAGGTTTTTAATAAAAAACTTGCCGGATTCATGTGTACTTTTCGGTGTTAGTGCGGCCTACTTAATTATTGCAAGTGCAAATAAAAAACGTAGAAAGAAGCGTTATTTGCGGGTCAAAAATTATTTAAAACCTTGACATTTTGTAGTTATAGATAATTTGCAATCATATGAGATATTTTATTAAAAAATTTTACACAAATATCCAGAGCAAGTTTTTACTCAGTGTTTAATATAATCGAACCAGAAATATTAAGACAAAACACTCGTTTTAGAAAGGCTGTTCCAGCTAAAATTAAGTTGTTAATAACGATATGATATTTAGCTATCCGAGTGAAATGTAATATAAAAAGCGCACGAGTGTAAACGTACCATATTAGAAATACGTTCAAGCACAAGCAGAATAATTAATAATAATTAATAACGATAACGATTACAGATTAAAATAGGAATTAGTAAGATAATAGGTACCATAATAATAATAATAAGGTAGTCATAATAATTAAACCGCCCCTATCTACAATATTTTATTGGAAATATTCAATTACACAAAGGTATCCCCCTAAGATAATGTACAGCTGTATTGACTAAAAATAAACATATCATAAGAAACTCATTTTTCCCAAAAATTTCGGGAGGGGTACTCTCCCGTTAGTACGCACTACTTGTAGTAGTGTAGTAATTCTTTTCTTGTCTTTATGTTGTTTTGGTTTAGGTATGTTGAAAGGGGGGCGATGCCCGGTTCCACCAAAAGTAGACCTTTCCCTTTTCCACCAATACCCGTTTCTACCAAAAG